TCCTGAGGCCGTAGCTTGCCATGCGGCCTCTGGTGCTCGGCCTTGACCATCCTGCCAGGTCAAGCACCTCTCAACATACCAAGCGATTTCTCGCTTCATGCACGACCACCTGTAACTCAATCACAAGTCTCGGTACATCTTGGTGGCCCCCTGGTGAATAGAGAAGCGAGACTTATGAGCCTCCTCCAATATAGTCTGTCTGACCCCACCAGACATCGGAAGCCAGACCCGACCGCAACTGGACCTCTCTTGGTTAACGAGGTGTCCTACGAACTGGACCTCTCGTAACCAAAACTCACACTTCGAGAACTTGGCATAAAGCCATTCCCGAAGCTCTCGGGTCTTGGAATACACCAAGATATCGTCGATGAATACTATGACCGAGCGATCGAGCATCCGCTACCTGATCGACAAACTGGGGCGGGCTGGCGACAATCCTTCGCATAATGCCCCTCCTTGCCACACTTGTGGCACCCGCTACCTGATCGACAAACTCCAGAATGACCCTTTCCGCACTTTCCACAAGTGCGGCCACGCTGACCTCCGGTCATAGTATCGTTGGTCTTAGACTGCTTCGGCGTAGGCTGTGACTGCGCCGGGGCCCACCTCTACTCTCATAACTGTAACTCAATCTCCAGCTCACGCCGCCGGGCGGCCTCCTGTAAATCCAACAAAGTGTCACATCGCTGGGTAGCAACAAACTGTCGGATATCAGTCTTGAGCATGCTCAGATAATGTGTCATCTGAGCCTGCTCAGAAGCAAACTCCGGGCAAAACACCTAAATCCAATATTTTTCACTTCCATAATTCCTAATTAGGTTAATAATGAACATTTACATAGCTGAGAATTTTATGACACTAGGGGTATTTTTATTATTTTCGGTAATTTATTCTAGAGTAAATTACACGAATGGTCCCCTATGGTTTGGGGTAATTTACGCGTTTTGTCCCTAACTTATTTTTTTAACTCGGAAGGTCCCTACTATTTGTTTTTGTTATGTGCTTGATCCCCACTATTTGTTTTTGTTACGCGTTTGGTCCCTGTCTTATCAAAAAAGATTATTATTTAAATATGGAAAATGGTGGGGGTAGATAAGGTAAGTTGAGGGGGGTGGGGTTGTGGGTGTGTTTATTTAAATAATTTAAAAAAAATCAAGGGAAAAATAGTCTTTTTAGGTAAGACAGGGACCAAGCGCGTAACAAGAACAAACAATAGGGACCTTCCGAGTTAAAAAAATTAGTTAGGGACCAAACACGCAAATTACCCTAAACCATAGGGACCATTCATGTAATTTACTCTTTATTCTATGTCTTACATGAAGTGATTAAAGTAAATTCATTAGGAGCACACTAAGGAAATACATGTTTTTTTTACTGGAAGTTGAGGCGAGTTACCGGGAGCACACATCTCTAATTATTAATTTTATGTTTTGAAACTATCTATCACAAAAACTTTATTTCTTGTTGCCTTATATATATATATATATATATATATATATATATATATATATATATATATAATATATATATATAATATAGAGAGAGAGAGAGAGAGAGAGGAGAGAGAAAGTTAGGTTCAAATGTTTCTACTATCTATTGTGTGTATGTATGATTGATTCTGGACCAATCATTTTTGTTATTTTAAGAAAGTAATTAATGCAAATTAAATACTAAAGATTTAATTAATATTCATTATATCTTCAACATGTAATATGCATTAAATTACTTTCTTAAAATAACTAAAATGATTGGTCCAGAATCAATCCTACATGCACATAAAATATAGTTAGAACACAATAACCTAACCATATATATATATATATATATATATATATATATATATATATATATATATATATATATATATATATAGACACACACACACATACACACTTGCCGCATTCATGTAAACAAGTTTTGGAAAGTGATTTGATAGCAAACGATAATACTTATTTTGAAAGTGATTTTGGCATTCTACTTGTTGTATTACATACTAGGATGGGTGACTTGAGTGGAAGTCATTGAGATCATTTTATATTGAGTTGTTGTGAGTAAATTTCTGGATAATCCTCACCTATACAAGTATAGGTTAGTTATACATTGTGTGTGCTAGGTGTGGTGGCTCCATATCCCTAGGAATGGACTACCGTCAGAGTGTTCTATTGAGCCATCAGGGTGATTGACTATTGAGATTGACATATGTTTGGTCGAGTTGCCCGCATGGCCTCTTATTATGTGTTATAGTCTTGGTTTACCATTTTTATGAAGTTTTTGAGACTATACGTCTCTTAGAAGAAATATCACTTGCAGTTAATCTTTTGGGCATATAATACCCTTGATTTGATTTGGGTTATTAAACCTATGTGTTCTACTTGTTTAATTGTTTTGTGATGTTTTGGAGGTTTGATTCAAGTAAGATGGATTATCAACATTTACTCTAAATGAATTATCATTGGGTACCTCAATCATTTGCCTAACTTATTTATGATGTATGATTAGATTGAAGTACTTGTGGGACTTAGAGGTGCATGACATTTAGAAGACCCCGTTGTATGGGAAACTTAATCCTTGGTATGATACATAACGACACATCACATTTTGAATCAACTAATTTTGAATATTTTTTGGAACCATTTATATCCGCAAAACTTATTAAACCATGAGACTGTGGGTTTTGAAGATTAAAACTTGTTTTTAATATTATTTTAAAATCATTTGAACAAGGGGTGTGTAATGTTTTAAAAACTGGTTTGAACCGACCGGTCGAACCGGTTGGACCGGGAACCGGGAGAGTGAGCGGTTCAACTATCACCGGTTTTATATTGATTTCTGAACTGGATTGAACCGGCCGGTTTTTAGAAAAAACCGGTTGAACCGGTCAAAATAAACCGATTGAACCGGTTAAACCGAATAAAAACACATGAAAAAGAACCATTTACATAATAAACTTTGGTGATTTTTTTCAAATCTATTTAGTTTTCTCTAAAATAAAAACATATGGTAAATGTTATAAATTCATTTGATGTGTTTGTATTCATCAAAAACTATATTTCGTTTCGGTATTATACTTTATTTTTTTTTGACGTATATGGATTGATGTAAAACACTAAAACTTATGGTTATGTGTTATTTTAATGTATTTGGATTCATCTACAACTTATTTTTATGTGTATTTTTAATGTTTAAACTTGTAAACATCAAATTCATAATTTCTATATGTATGTATGTGTAGGAAAATAGAAAAAAAAAACATGAAAAATATAGAAACCGGTTCACCCGGCGGTCGAACCGGTTAAACCGGTTGAACCGGGAACCGAATGAACGAGGGGTGTTTCATTTCCAGATGGATTCATAGTTTAAAAGGTGGAATAAATTTATAAATCAAAATCCTAACTTTACAAAGCAATGATTTAAGTTAGCGTTTGAGTTTGTGTGCATTCTTGGTGTACGAGTGTTGGTTCTGGTTTTCTTTTTTGTTTTACTTATTTTGGCTTTTAACTTTTGATGAATTTTTCTTTTGTTGAATTTAATTTTGCAATTAGGTTTAGTTTCAAAGTTCTTGAAGAAAGATGAGAGCATAATTATCATTTTCATTGACCTAACAATTGGATAATTACAAATTTACATAACACAGTCTAGTAATTGAAAAAAAATAACCAAATTCATTTTTAGGGATGAAAAGAAGATACATGAACCATATTAGTTATAATTCAGAGATGATTTCATGTTATAACTCCTAGAAAATTTTACAATTTATTATATAGTTTTGTTTGCTAAGAAATCGATTGTTAATGATGTAAGGAGCTATCAATATATGAAGAATAGAGTAGATGAGGGCATGCTCTAAACATGACTTGTTGCCATGCTTCTTTGTAGCATTTAATGATGCTTTTACATTCATGTCCCCCTCCCCCTTCTCTCCTCCCACAATCCACGCATAATTCCACGCCCCACTCCCATTAGTCCATATCTTCTCTATGCATCCTCTAAGTTCAAAATACCCTAAATGCCCTTGACATATATCCAATTACAAAATTATAATTCATTTTCGTTTGCATAATATACTTGTCTTAAGATATACATATATATATTTTTATGGTAAGGTAGTTGGCAAATCAAACTACATCATCGAGATTATCCATAAAATGCTCTCAACTACAAAGTTATCAAAGTAGACTATCAATCTATAAAATCGTGTTTATTTCAAATCAAATTAACCTAAACAATTTTAAAATTTATCATTAATCTATTGTTAATATCTAAAACAATAATTGCGACCAACTATTTTTAGTCCCTCTAGTGTGGAAGGCATCAACATTCTTTTGACTAGCTCCTCCTAATACTCGTGCATGAAGGTTTCCCACTTATATTTTTGATATTTTTCGTAATTAGAAAATATTTTAGATCAACTCGGTCATGCTACACAACATCACCTAAAAATTGTTAAACATTTCACATAAAAATTTACATTTACATGGAAATAAAACACCCAACTTGATTTTAAGCATAAATTGTTAAACATTTCACATAAAAATCAATGTTTAGATAACAAAAATATACATATAAATATAAAAAATCTCATCGAGAAGATTAAGACGAGTTCAATTCAAATATGGTTTTTCTATTCATCACTTTTATTTAGTAAATCAATTATAATCAATTTGTTTTTAATGCCACAACAATAAAAACATATTTCGATATCGTTTTTAAAAAATTGTATCTGTTTGTTTTTGTATAGCTATTTTCCCTCTAACATAATATGAAAACATGGCCCACAAGAAAAGGGTTGTTTTGTCAAAGTGCTGCTATTATGCATTAGGGACCGCAATCATCACCCTTTTCCCCTCCAATTTGCACCTAACTTGTAGAAATTCATTAATTTTCAAACACCGGGAGAGATTGAGAGAGAGATTTTAGAGAGATTCAACTTTTGCTATATAAATCCATACCCATTGAAACATAAACACAAGAGCCAAAACTTCAATCTATCCTTTCCTCCAATGGCTTCCATCACCTCCTTCTTCTTCTTCTTCTTTCTCCTTCTCCTCACTCTCTCCTCCACCATCCATGCAAGAGAAAGCCAATTCTTCGCCAAAATCTCCAACAACATCCCAAAAGAAGTACAACCCTTAAACACCAATCAACAAGATCCCAATTTCATCCCACAAACCCAACCAGACGGCGGCGCTTACGGCCTCTACGGCCATGAATCAGGCCAACTGCCACCTTCTGCCACCGCCAACAACTTCCCCCTCCCCGCCAACCTCCCGGAAAACTACAACCCGGTGGCTTACACCACCCCTATTCACAGCAGCACCCAAGACTTCCCTGACGAATTCAACGACCAGTTCACCGGTGAAACCGGAATGTACAACTCTGAGAAGCAAGAAATGGGTGCAAAGTTTGCAAGTGGTGGCGATATGTACAACTCCGGGAATCAAGAAATGGGTACAAATGGTGGCAATATGTACAACTCTGGGAATCAAGAAATGGGTACAAATGCTGGCAATATGTACAACTCTGGGAAGCAAGAGATGGGTTCAAAGTTTGCCAATGGTGGCGATATGTACAACTATGGGAAGCAAGAGATGGGTACACATGGTGGCAATATGTACAACTATCAGAAGCAGGGGATGAGTGACACTAAGTTTATGGAGAATGGAAAGTACTACTATGCCCCCGGCGGCGATGGGTACAAGTCAGTGAAGCCTCAGTTTGATGATACTAGGTTTGTGGAGACTGAAGACGGCGGTAATATGTACAACTCCCAGGAGCAGGGGAGTGAGGATATGTACAACTCGGAGAAGCAGGGGTTGGGTGAGACAAAGTATAGTGGAAGTACAACTAACAATGCTAATACGTACAACATGGAGAAGCAGGGGATGAGTGATACAAGGTTCTTGGAGAATGGAAAGTACTATTATGACCTCAATCTTGAGAAGAACTCAAGAGCATTTGACTCAAGAAATGGGTACAACACAAATGGGTATAATGGGAACAACTATAATTCGTATGATAGGTACAAGTTCAATTCCAATTCCAATTCCAATGGTGGATATCAAAACCAAGAGGAGTTCCAATACAACCAAGACAATCAATTCAATCCCTGAGGGATATTTTTGTCTTTTTCACTCTAGATTTTAAAGGACAATTATGTGCATGAAGATATGGTGTTTTAAGATGATATTTATGGTTTTTTTTTTTAATTTGGTGTTATAAGTCCTAATCTTGTCATGTTTTATTAGGAAAAACCAAAATATAAAGTCAAATCAATGTGTGTTGTTTTATCTTTGTGTAATCATGCGTGGTCAACTCAACTCATGCTTTGAAAGATAGTACTTTGATCTTTAATTTTTGTACATTTAAGTTTAATCCCTAATATTTTTTATATAATTAACAAGACCACACATGACAAAATCAAATAAGAAGTCAAGGAAAGTGAAAGCAAAATACTTAGAAGAATATTTATTAATTTGTAATTTGTATTAAAGTTTTTAAACACCTTAAATGGTGGGGAAAAGCTTTGGGTGTTATATAATATAAGTCTATGAATGTGCATACTTACTACTTGATTGAAGAAGTTTTCATGGTTAGACTTTGCTTAAAAAAGAAGGCTATACCTTTAAGACACATTTATTATCAAAAGCAAATGAAAACAATTAACATAATTATTATGTTCCACCAATAATGAATTCTGATAAATATTTATGAACCACATGTAGACAATTGATTAAACAAAAGAACGTTTTTTAATGAATACCTAGATGCATAAGATTTAATATATTGAATATAACAAATACTTATAATATATACATTCTAAAATAGTATTTGAACAATTGTTGATGTGTGTTAATATAATAAAAATATGTATGATTGAGTGGAAATTAAGTTATAAATTATGTTTTTATCCTTGTAATTTTGAGAAAATTTTGAAATTTCACCTAACCTAAAGGTGAAGTAGATAAAATTTAATAGAAGAAAAGGAGTGTTCTTTCGGTGATGCATTTAAGGGCATTTTATGGAAGGTGGATGTCCTTAGTGGTTGGACCCTTGATAGGGGGATTAGGGACCTCCCACTATATTTTGTACTGATCCATTGGCCAATGGAGCCAAATTACAAAAAAGCCCCCTCTAAAAATTTGTCACACACAATTAGTCCTTCAAATCTTGGTTTTATTTGTTAATAAATATTTGTTTTTTTGATGAAAATAACAACAAATATGTTTTATGTGAATATAGATTTGAATAAACATAAAACAAAAACATATACACCTAATTTTGTAAGTCAATAATTTTAATAGGTTGGAAGTTAAAAATAATAAAAATACATCAATCTCCAATTAAATTCATCAGATACTGTAAGTTCATAACGTATTTGTATCTTTATGTGTAGATTAATGTCGACTAAAAACCCTTATTAATATGCATGGTTTAAATTAAATGATACAAGAAATAAATACAAAAAAGAAAAGGAAAATCTGCTTTTCATTCTTTTACTTTTCCTCTTTCTTCTTTTGCTTTTAATCTCGCCTTCCAAATTCAAATAAAATAAAAATAAAGATTTAAAGAACTTTTGCAAATTTTGTTAATTTGAAAATATTTAAGTGTGAAGTTAGCATGCACATTTCAAGATATCAGGTATGAGTTCGTTACCAAAAGGTTTTATGCGTTCGTTACAGAAAATAATGCATAAAAATAGCATAAATTTAGTTAATATTTATCTTAGTAAGTCTATTTGAAAAATTAGTAGTCAATGATCTCTATTATTAACTCATAGTTAAATAATGGAGTGATTATACATAGATTTGATTTATTGATAACTAATTTCTCAATTATTAACTGAGCTTTTTATATAATTTATAAAATTATATTATAAACTGTTAAACAAAATGCTAAATGATTAAGAATGTTTCAAAATGTCTTGGCTTTGGATTCTTGACCAAAAGTGGTCTCAAAATTAGAATATTTCCTTTATTTTTGAAAGATTTTTCCTTTTTCCTTTTGTGTTTTTGTCTTTGTTTCCTCCATAATGTATGTATTATGTAGTGTAATTGGGAAAAAATGTATTACACGATTAAATTTTATATCCAAGTTTTAATTATTACTATGCCCTAAAGTCGAATTACCCAACATTTTCAAAGTCCGATGACATAAAATATTTCTATACAACTTACATAAAGTCTCATAATTTTTTGATATAGCTAGTACCTTAAAAAAATAATACCATCAATATATTAATGGGCCTATAGTTGGAATTACTATATAGTTAATTTAAAAATATCATTTTACTAAATAAATATAATTTAAAGGAGTTGGTTGCTCTATGTTGACGAAGCAAAGAAAATCTGGAGTGGTGTGTTATTTTGTCAAACAAGTGGAGTGGAAACTGAACCACGATATGGGAGTTGTGGAGAATGTCCACTTCCAGTCACCAAATTTCCACTCAATTATTATATAAAAAGTGAATTACATAAATGGTCATTGTGGTTTATCTTAGTGTTTATGTATAGTCCATGTTCTAAAAAAATGATATCAAGCATCCCTTATAGTTTCCAAATCATTCACTTTTGGTCCTTGAAACCTTTCGGTGTCCAATTGGCTCCGTTAAATACCTCTAAAAGACGAAAAATGCTCATGTTTTGTTCTTTATGATACTTTGACATTTCTATATATTTTGAGGAACCAATTTTATAAAAATTGAAATCTAGCCCTAAAACCCATACAAAAGACTTGATTGGCAAACGGAAGTCTTGATTTTCGAAATTAACATAAACTAATTTATACACACCAATGATCATCTTGCAAATTATAGAAATATTTAAACACTAACCAAAGAAATGATGGAGAAATAACGACCTTTAAAGTTCTTCAGGTCCTTTTGGGAGGCTTGAAAGTTGATGGAGAATAATAAACTTTAGAGACACCAACAATGACCATGACATCCCAAAAATCAAAGAAATTTTAAAATTTTAAAATCAACCATTTAACATCATTGTTTACAAAAGAGTCATTGTGTCCAAAAATATTAATTTAAAATCAGAGTTTTCCCAAGACTTGAAGACATAAAAAACAGGAAGCTGTGTATGATCACGTTTTTGCCTTCCCACGATCCTCGAAAGTACCTGAAATCATAAACTAAAACTGTAAGCCAAAGCTTAGTGAGTTCCCCCAAAGTACCAGCACACCACAACAAACAAGTATACAAGAAGAACAACCAGCCCGACTGGACCGCCTCGTAGGGCCTACAACCTATCTGGACTGCTCTACGAGCCTTCAGCATGACTGGACAGTCTCGCAGGGACTACAGCCTATCCAGACCGCTCCACGGGCCACCGACCTGACTTGACCGTGTCGTAGGCCCTATCCGGTCGTCCCCGGGTGTCTTGGCCTACAATACAAAAGCAGGACCGCCTCAACCCAATACAACATGTCGACATATGCAACAAATAAACATAAACGTAGAGCCATCAAATACAAATAATCATACGGATCCATCGAACAGCTACAACTATCATATCACTATCCTGACCAGGATAAATAATCTAGTTGGCCCGCATTGATGTCTTCGACCCACGGGTACAATGAGGAAAACTCACCTCACAGTCTGACGAATAACTGAACAATACCCTGCTCCGAATACCGGCTTTACAAGCCACCTATTCAACATATAGAGACCAAGGCTTAACTATAGCTCAAAATACCTAAAATACCCTTAAGTCAAATTTGGTCAACCTTGGTCAAAGTCAAAGTCAACGGTCAATGTCCAAAAGTCAATATTTCTTCCCACCGGAGTACGCCCTGCGTACCAAGAGAGTACGCCCAACGTACTCTGATGTTAACCAAAAGCGGGGCGCTGACCGCGTACGCGCAACGTATGCAGCCCTGTCCCAAAACTCCATTAAGAGCTTATTCCATTAAGCCCTTACGTCCAAAACTCAGATCCAAGCCCAAAATGATGTCCTAAGTCATAAAGTTTCCAACTTCATGACTTTGCATGGCTATAAAGTGTTTAATGTCCAAAACCCTAAGTTCTTAACCCAATAAGACATAACAACTCTTGTATGGAACGGATAGAAGGGCCAAGATCACATTTTTATGGTTGATAATAGCTCCATAATGGATTAAGTTTCCAACTTTATCCATTAGAATGGTCCCAACAAACAAGATCTAGTCTTTAAGTCTCCAAGGGACCCAAAAGGGCATCTCTTTCAACTTAATCCATTAAGTCCAAGTCTCCAACCTTTAGATCTGAATCAAAATGATGTTTAGATGGATAAAGTTTCCTACTTTATCCATAACAAGATCAATTTCATCATCAAGATTCAAAATTTATACCTCTAGAAGAAAGATCAAGGTGAACAAAGTCTGGATCTACAAGCTCCAATGCAACCAACACTTCTTCAATGAGTTCCTTCTTCTCCAAGGTGCACCAATAACACTCCAAAGCACTTAAAAGCACCTTCTTTTTGCTCACAAGGCTTAATCTAGGTTTAGGGTTTCAAGAGAGGGTGTTGGAGAGGTGGAGGTTGAGAATGGAATGGGTTTGGGGAAGTTAAGGAGCTTAACTAGGGATCAAACCACGAAAATAAGGTTTGGGCACTAATTGCGTACACCCTGCATACTTCTGGTACGCCCATCGTACTAGGGATGCCCTAGTACGCCTTATGTAATCCACGTACACCCTGCGTACGCGGCTAACCCAAAAATCGTCTTAACTTCAAACGGTCGTAACTTCTTCGTTCCAACTCTGTTTTTGACGTTTCTTTACATCCACGGAAAGGTGTTGATAAGCTCTACAATATTATCTAAATATCTTGGACTAAAAACTTCTCGAACAAAAATCCATATTTCATTCAAGGACCCGACCTATGACTTTTCCCTTTCTACCCTTCGGCCCATAACACAATTCAAGGGTAAAATCTCTTAACTATCCTTAACTCCTTCCATAAGGACTAAACTTTGCCCCCTTAAGGACCAAAGCCTTACACAATTGACTTCCGGTCCATGGCTCAGAAATGGTAGGAAACAGGATGTTACAATTCTCCCCCATTTAAATTAGATTTCGTCCTCGAAATTAACTCTCGCTTCCGCTTCACGATGGAACCCCTAG